AGTTGTGACTTCTGAGAGACAGAAAAACAGAAAAGACATATTTGAAAAATATTCAATCACTATGAAATGAATAAGATATTACTCTTAAAAAGACAAGCACCAGAGAAGACATCAAATTATGGGAGGAGCTCTGAAGAGTTCCCTGCCAACCTGCAGACTCACCTGTCCTGGAACTGCCAGGGGCAAGGGTTGTGCCAGGAGCCACCCCAGTCGTAGATGAAACACCAAGAGGACTGGGATCACCATGGTGATTAATCTTTCTTTCCTACAGACCTGCCTCTAGAAAGAATCTAAACCTAACTTATATCTAACTAGCACTTTCCCTAGCTCTTCCCTGGTGATGAGCCCTGTGTATTTTCTTACTAACCATTTTATTACCAAAGCAACCAAAGTGACAATGTTCTCAACCTGTGATAATCTTCCTAGTATTCTCGGTCAGGAGGACAATGTGGGTTTCTCCCATGCTCCCCTGTTCTCCTCCCTGTGTCTTGGCTGTCAGATGCAAGAGTGGTGCCTGCTGTGGGGTGGTTGCTGAGAATGCCATGAGTGTGCTGAGAACTCCAGACGTTGTGAAAATATTTAGCTCTTCATTTGTGAAAAGGAAGCACTAACACAGGGCAGGTGTGTTTCCTGGGTTCTTGTAGCTCCTCTGTGTTTCTCAGCAAGTTTTATCACCCCCTCCTCTTCTAAAAGCGTCTAATGTTTGTAATCTCACAGCAGAAGTTACTCAGAACAATCAGTATAATTGTCCTACCTTCCAGGATTAGAAGTATGATTCTGCACTCTGTAATTAGTAGCTTTTCTGGAAAAATGTCTAAACTTATAAAGAATTTGTTGGCCAAAAATGTAGTATATTAGTAAAGTAAATACAAACTGCTCTCCAGAATCCTCCTCTCTCTAGTCTCGCTATGAGTGTCAAAATCAGTGATAACAAGAAAGACATGAGTTGCTCCTTCTCACCTATTGTGAATGAAGCTTCAGTGGTGCCAACGTGTTCTGCGGAAATTGTGGCCTCTGAGACATGATTTGGAATTGTAAATTCTGGGGAGTTGCGATAGTGGGAAGAGAGATTTTGTGTTATTCACCAGAACAACCTACAAAAAACATCATTTCATCTGCGCATCCATAGAGATGGTTTTCTTTCAACTTTACCTGTGTTGGAAATTCCTGTTTCAACAGATGTCTCAGAGCCCACTCCAGTGATACCTAAAACAAGAAAAGCAAATTTAGCAAATTCATCATGGAAGCAACTTAAAAGGGCATTTCTCAGGAGTTAATGTTATAAACGATGCAAATGCTAAATTAAGAGTGTCCTTCTCTCATTTCATCTCCTTGGCCCATTTATTCGCAGGCGACTTGCCAGTGAACACCCCTACATTCTAGTCTGCTGACAGAGGGATGGGGGCTCATTTCATGCCTGCCTGTTTCACTTCCTGTTATGTCTTCCTGGTGTACCAGGGATGACTACAGAGGGAGGAAAATGAAAGATAAAGTTCTTTATAAATATCTCTGTGATACTTTTGTGGTTGATTTCATGTCATCCCTAAAGCATACCCATGCATACACATACACATGCACAAAACTCATAAATGAGTAAGAGCCAGCCTACATTTTCTTTATGAAATTTTACCTGTGTTGGAAACTTCTGAAATGGTACTGACTTCAGAAGAAATGATAGGGGTGCCTGTGGAAAAAAAAAAAAATTGTGTGAACTTTAAAGCAATGATGGTCTCATTCCTGATTTCGGAGAACTAGTTCTGAAAGCCAGGACTCAGGCACACTTGTCGGAGGGTCATGAAAATGTCAGTTCCAGAGGGATTCACAATTTGACTTAGCCTTGCGTAAAATGTGTCCTCAACCTTCGTGTTCTTCTGTTTTAAGCTGCAATCTCAAACAAAGAATCAACAGAACCCAAAGTCTTGGAATGAGAACACTCACCTCCTGACTGTCCTGCTTCAGGAGTCCCTGTAGCAGTTGTAGCCTCTGAGAAAGAAAAGAAAGGAATGAAGTAAGAACAAGCTGGACGGTTGGGTCTTGTGGATCACATCTATAATTCCACGCTTTGGGAGGCCGAGGCTGGCAGATCACTTGAGTCCAGGAGTTCGAGACCAGACTGGGCAACATAGTGAAACCCTGTCTCTACAAAAAAGAGCCTGTAGTCCCAGCTACCTGGGAGGCTGAGGTGGCAGGATCACCAGAGCCTAAGAGGTCAAGGCTGAAGTGAGCCAAGATCATGCCCCTGTACTCCAGCCTAGGGAGCAGAGTGAGACCCTATCTCAAAGAAAGAAAGAAAAAGAAAGAAAGAAAGAAAGAAAGAAA